AAAAAAAAAAAAAAATAAATAAATAAATAAATCGAGCCGAGCTAAGCCGAGCTGAGCCGAGCCGGCGGTTTATGAATAGTGCTTAGGAATAGTGCTTATGAATAATGGCTATATCCTTCACTCTTTTATTTAAGTAGGATATTCAGTTTACTCTATTGCAGTTATGATCAGTGATGATTGATAAATCAGTTGAGCAATTGATCATTGCTGAATCTAGAACTAAATTGTCTGTCATTTTTAGGAGTTCGGTAACTTCCAAGGATTGGGTAACATTATATGCCCTTACCCGTTTGGTCAGTGACAAAAGAAAGAAAGGGTCAAAATGTGCATCTTTTGCTATGATGTATTAAGATGTTAGAATCATCCCTTGGTTAGTCAACCATAGATCACAATTAAGTGGAAAAAACAAGGAAAGAAGTAAAAAAAAAAAAAAATACTGTTTGTGGTGTGGTAAAAATCACCCTCTACAAAAAAAATATATTTTACATTCAAGTTTATACATTATATAAATAATCATGTCTAGACTTCGGGGACTATTGTTACGTTTCGCCTCCGAGACTCAAAGTAAAAGTGTCACGTAATAAGTTAGGTAGGCAGAAAGTCTAACAAAAAAGTCAAGCAAAGATCTATGAGGTCAGAATATGAAGAAATCAAACAAAATCGAAGTCCTTTTACTTGATGGAAGGAGACTTGGTTCTGGGTCAGGGAGAGTGAGACCCCCACGGACATAGAGAATACCACCCCTTGGAGCCCCCTTTCCCTAAGGATCGTGGCTGATAAATGGTTTGAAATACATGTGAGGGCATGTCCTCGCCCAAGGAGGTCTCCTTCTAAAGGAAGTAAGAATCTACCAATTGGGTCCATGCATTAGGAACGAGCTGAGTAGGTTTGGCCAACCCGTATTGCCTCGGAATGACACAGAAGAATGGGTGGATTGGAAGCTGAAGCCCAGCTTTTAATAGAAATTCACTAACGGCGACACAGCCTTATCTAGGATAGCAGGCTCGCTTGTTAGGAGATGGGGAAATAAGCTCTATAACGTATGGAATTCTATACTTATCCCTAATGTTGGCTAAGTACGTCGGATCTATGGAGGAAGGGATTTTGGTTGCCCCCAAGCTATGTCATCATTTGATGGCCTATCCCCTACAGAAATTGAAGCACCTCGCCTAGTCTTAATGCTTCAAACGAGGTCGGCCGTGTTTGTGATTTTTATCCCAATTTCACTAGCTAGCTCTCGAGGTGTCAATCCGGGTGGTCCGGGCCAAGCCGGGTCGGCCCGTCAACATATGAGCTCGGTAACGGCCCGCGTGAACAAAGCCCCGCCCACTACAGGTTCTGGGTCGGCCCACAAATTTTGGAATACAACCCAGGTCCGCTCGCTGACCCATCAGGGTCGAGCCCATGCCGGTCACGGATCGCGCAGGTCGCGGTTTGTTCCGATTTGGCCCGTATTATTGTATAAATAAAATTATAAAAATATAAAATTTTTCCGGTTTGGCCCATATGGAGCGCAACTATCATTGAAAATNCAAATTTTGGAATACAACCCAGGTCCGCTCGCTGACCCATCAGGGTCGAGCCCATGCCGGTCACGGATCGCGCAGGTCGCGGTTTGTTCCGATTTGGCCCGTATTATTGTATAAATAAAATTATAAAAATATAAAATTTTTCATATTTATAGCAAAAAATATTTTTTTTGTTAAAAATAAATTAAGAATTAAACAAAATGATAAATTCATATTCATACAAAGAAATGTTTACATAGAATTCAAATTTAATGTTACATAAATTATTTATAATTTTGCAAAGTTAAATTTAATTTAAACAAAAAACAACTAATTGCATTTCTAATTACTATTATCAAATATTTATTGCATAAGTACATCCCAACTAGATTGGCACATACTTTTATTATAATTTATAGTTTAAGTACATCTCAACTAGGTTGGTTCTCTCCTCCATTTTTTTCAAATTTGTTTTAAAATTTTTTTTTCACGGGCCAGCAGGTTAACCACGGCCCGTGAAGGTGCAACCCGCGAAGCCCGCGGGTCACACCTCCTTGACCCGTAAACCACCCGCTGGGGTCACGGGTCAGCCCGAGGTCCCGGGTCGATCCGAGCCGCTTTTCACGGGTCTGGTCGGCCCGTCCGTTTTGACACCTCTAGCTAGCTCACTCAAGTCAACGTGCCCACCCGCAGAACCAGAACTAGAAGCCATTGATTTATAATTTAAACTTTTTACGGTTAAAATACTTACGAGTTTTTAAGATGATGAAGAAAGAACACCAAGAAGTGTGAAAGCAACAAAGAAAAGGGGAAATATGAAGAAATTCGAGAGAAAAGAACGCTTAGAAATTTCTCAAGAGTTGGAAGAAAATTCGAAAATTTTGGTGCAAAGAGAATGTTGAAATCGTAAAGGATGCAAAGTGATTTTTTTTTCAAGGATTTGTACCTTTTATAGGCAGACCCTCTTGATCCCGATTGTTGGATCTCGATTCAAGTCATCCAACCATCTATTTTAAAGTTTAAATTTGAGCCACTCAGCACGTCTAATGCTTTGTCTTCTACGACCCCGATTAGAACGTCGGACCCACAAGCCCTCATGCGCCTGAAGTTCGCGAGATACGTGGGAGACAACCATCATTGCGCATTAAATGTGGCAACGGTTGCGTGTATTAGAAGTTAAACCACCACTGCTATCTTCTCTTGGAAACGTTCACAGACAGCAAATCATTTGGGCTCCATAATTAAGGATGCCTCGTGTTTCTCAAATTTATTAAAATGAAGCGCCTCGTAATTATCAACTCTGAGGCCCTGTGATGGTCTAGTGGTGGCAATCGAGCCGAGCAGCTCGTACTGTAGCAATCCATGAGCCGCTCGGGCTCGTCAAAAGGTGAGCCCGAGCACGAGCCAAGCCCGCTTGGCTCGTTGGTTCGTCTTAGACGAACATACAAGCCCCTCGACTCGTGGGCTAGTCTAAATTAAAAAAAAATAAAATAAAAATAAGAAAGTGACCGTTTGGTCAATTTTTTATTTTTTTTTCTAATTTTCTTTCTCCTCTTATAAATACCCACCCATTACAACATTTTTTTTCCACCAAACTTTCATTATCAACAATATCATTCATTTTTTCTATAATCTTCTTCTACATTTTTTTTAACATTATTATCTTGATTTTACAATTCAATTTATACACTACTACATAATTTTCATTCACTTCTGAATTCTACATTTCTACATTCTACTTCAAGTCTTCAACATTCAATTTCTATTATCCACAAATGGATCCACGAGAACTTGTTCGGTATGGAAAGCGAAACGCCTGCCCAAAATCAATTTGGGAATGAATTCGCCGGTCTCAATGAATTACCAATTCCAGAAAACATTGGAACTTTCGACGTTCGTGAAGATAGTCATCCAATTGATTTGGATGACGTTGATGTTGATCCTGGTGTTCTAATTGATTTGGAACAAGATGAAGAACCTACATTTAAATATTCCCGATGCAAGAGGGAAGAGAAATGGGAAGAAGCAGGCAAAATGTTGGGACAATTTCAAATTGGTTCACACTGAGTCTCCTCACCAAACGAAATAAATTGTACCTACAGTTGCAAATGTGAAGAATGTGGCAATTTGGAATTTATTAGGCATATCAAACAATAATTTCAAAAGATTTTTATGTTGAATAACGACATACAATAGGGTGGAATTCTTAGAAAGATTGCAGTGTCTCTATTTTAATTAAGTGAATAAATCATAATCCTGTGATCCTACACTAAATAACTGATCAAGCAATCGTAGCCTAATATTTACTATTACTAAATTCAAGGTGCAAAGCAAAAGCACAATTACAAGTTCACCATTAACTTAATGTACTGCATACCAATTATAATCTATCATTTAGCACTAGCAAGAGTGAATAACTAATCTTACCTGGAATAGAAAAATCAAATTGAGATACGAATTCAACCATGCTTAAGGAAGAACAAAATAATAGCTGATTGATCAACCTTATCTGATGTTCAATGTTAAGCATATTGATCAACCTTCTCTGCTTCCAGGAATATTGTATCAAATAGTTGACATTGCTTTTGTTTGTCAGTAAAAAAAGTCCAACATACCATTGTTTTTGCAGAGTTTAAATCACCTAATAGACAATTAACAAACACAACGTAAGTTAACTATTAGATAAACAATGGAATTAATCAATGTAAATTGAAAGTAAAACTCCCCTATCAAAGCTCCAATGATTTGGCACCAAAATGGATGGATCGAGTCTCAGATTAAGAGCCACCACCACACAGAGACACCACACAAATTGGCAAAAGATTACCCACTCAAATGGACCACAAAGGACACACAAAACCGGCCATAGTTTCTCAGATTAAGAGCCAACACCACACAGCAACACCACACAAATTGGACCAAGATTACCCACTCAAATGGACCACAAAGGACACCCAAAACCGGCCAAAGTAAATGTACAGAAATAGAACCAAACGGGACCAAAATAGGGGCAGAATCGGAGGCACAAAGCAATGCACAGACCAATCTTTTTTTGAACAAGTGTAACTTCCTTCTTCGTTGGATCAGCTAGGGCCTCTAGTTCCTAATAATTGTAATTTATAGTTGGTTTGAGGTAGTACCAGCGACAAATTGAAAAGTCATTAGCTTTAGATACTGAAATTTCTCATCCATTTTTTATGGTATGCATATAAATCTCATAATTGAGCTCTAGCTTTCAACAGGCATATTCATATAACAGGGCATGATTCTTCTCAAGCTTAAATACTTAGAAATACATGCTATCAGAAGAGATGAAGCCCATAATTGAAATGGTTAATTGTTAATTGTTCGGTTAATTATAGGGCTAAAACTAAACCCATCTTTTAGCCCTTCAAAAAGATAGATAAATTATTTGATAATCTCATTTAAAAGCAGTCTGGATCCGGCAAGAAACATGACTATCAACTGTTAAATTTTACAAAAATAGTTCTCTCACTATTGGGATGACAATGAGTGAAGAACAACCAATTGATATATGAAATTGCAAAAAGTAAATTGTCCTCTAAATTATGCTTCAAAAATGAAACCGATTCCAACATTAAACTACTATTATGTAAATTATCTCACAAAATTAGTAAAATATTAAGGAAATTTCAGGATTGATATCCCTCTTCTTAATTCCCTGCAGATCCATAAAAACAAACCCCATAAAAAATGTAGAAATAACCCCAGACAATACCTCACGAACAGTGGACAAACGCCTATTTTCTTGTTCAATACGACCCATCTGTGCTAGAACTCTCTCCTGAACCTCCATTTTCCTCTTCTGAATCTTCTCTTCCTTAGCCATGAAAGTTGACAGAGCAGATCTTCCCATTTCCTCATCTTCTTTAGTTAAAGCACCACTCAAACTCAAGCTTTCTGAAATCTGCCCAGATTGTGTGAGCTTGTTGGCGGCGTTCACTTTTTGATCAAAATCTCGTAGAGGAGGAGAGCAGAGGCGGAGGCGGAGGCGGTGAAGTGCGAATTGAAATGGAGGCTGTATTTTAATATTAATATTACAATTAACCAAAGCAACTCAATTCGTCCCAAACCCTAATCATTTTTCCATATAATTTTTCTCTACCCTCCCACTTCTCTCTCCCTTCTCTCTTCCGTCTTCCCCTTCTCTCTCAACAATAATGGCGCCGTCCTGCACACTGGCGCCACCACCGGTCCCAAACCCTCTCATTTCTCTCTCAACAATAGTAGCACCGCCCTGCGCAGCGACTTTACCACTGGAAGACCACCACCGGTGCCGTGGCTCGATGCTCAAGATGCCACCACAGCTTCCTCGTCTCCGGCTACTGTACCTGATTTTGTGTGCATCCACTTGTTGTCAATTTCAAGAGAGAAGATTACAACTGTGATGTTTAATGACCTTGGGAATTGGCTGACATTCAAGTGTGCAAAGCTTGGGCAGCTGCTTGTTTGGGAGTAGAAATCTGAGAGTTATATATTGAAGCAGCATGGGAATTATTTTGATGTAAGCTCCATTGCGTATTCGCCAGATTCACAGTTTTTGGCCACCGGAGCAGATGATAATAAAATCAAGCGCCTTCATTTACCGGTGCTTCCGTGCACGGTAGCTTGCTGCAAGACGTCGCTCGCAATAGCCAGTGGACCCTGTGAGTTATGTTACGTGAGCGCCGCATCGCTACACGCAGTGCAGCATACAATCTATTTTCTTCATTTGTATTTGTGTGGTGCAATATGATTTCTTTGTCATCTCTTCTATGTTCTACTCATTTGTTTAGTGTAGTGGTGATGGTTGTGGTGTGGTAGAGATGAAGGAGATTGTGGATTTGACGAAGTGGCTATGATGACTTTTGATACAGGAGGTTGTAGTGGTGCAGTGGTTGTGGCCACGGCAGTAGGTTTGAGGATTTTTTTGGGTGGTTGTGGTATGGAGGAGATTTGGATTTACGGAGGAGGTGGTGGCGGTAATTGTTGCTGTGGCGGTGATTTTTGTGCTGATTGGTTGGGGGTGGATTTATAGTGCTTCCCGTGATGATGATAGATAAATCAGTCTTAAATACATTCAGTTTTCATGCTGGGACTCGAGATTTATGGATATGAAACAGTTTCAAATGCATTTTAAGAACAATTTACTTTGAGCAGTTTTTGTTATCTTTGTTTTTTTTTTTTTTTTCGCTTGGATTGGATTACACTTGTGCGCCCGATGTGCATTTGTTGATCAAGTAAAATTTATTTAACGTGAAATTCTTAATACTAACTTAAATTTCTGGTGATCTTATTAAATACATTCCAAATGCACCGGTGTCTCTACTTAGAAGTCGCCGTAGCCACGACAAAACATTCATCAATTGAGATTCATCATCAATTTTTCTTTTCAAGATTACAACTAAAAAATAAGCGGATAAATTTTATAACTTGTGACCAAATATGTTTTTATTGTGACTGGTTGTGACCCATTGTGACTTATTAATTGTGACCTGATCACATATGGTCACAGTTAAGATTGAATTAGTCAAAATTAGTCACATTGAATACAATTTTGGTTACAATTAGTCACAAATTTGGCGACTGTTGAAAATTTTCTGAAATAGGGGTGTAATCTCCAATTTTTAATTTTTCAAAATTTTTTGGGGAGGTGAAGGTAGGGATGAGGGGTAGGGTATATGAATCCATGGGGTGGGGGTGTGATTTACAATTTTTAATTTTCTGAAAAGTTTTTAAGAGGGTGGGGTGGGGTTTAATTAATTATATATTATTCTTGCAAAAAAAAAAATGAAACATTCTACATTTAGTTTGAAGTCCAGCCGTCATTTTTTACTTTGCCTCACATGTGGGGCCCAATTTTCTCATTTTAATGATGTGGAAAATGTTTACTAAACAAAGTAATAAATTATTAATTAACATTAACATCTGATTTTTGAAATAAGTTAACAAGTTTGGTCTTGGGCTCAGGTTTTTGGGCTTCTGCAATTTGAGCTCATTTATTTGGAAAAATAAAAATAAAAATTCGTAACACTTAACAAATGTTGCAAAAAGTGAACTTTTTTGCAACATTTAGCAAACGTTGTGAAAGGTCTCACTTTTCGCAACGTTTGACAAGCGTTGTAAAATAAAAGTCTTTTGCAATGCTTGTCAAACGTTTCGAAAAGTCTACTTTTGCAACGTTTGACAAACGTTGCGAAAGGCTTTTCTTTTGCAACGTCCGATAAACGTTGCGAAAAATAAAACTTTCCGCAACACTCAATAAACGTTGCAAAAAGGGGATCTATCGCAACATTTTTCTATAAAACGTTGCCAAAACTCATTTATACTAACAAAAGGCAACATTCACTTAATAAAATGTTGCTAAAAGACCCTTTTAGCAACATTTATCAATAAATGTTGCCTTTTAAGTGTTGTAAAAGAGTATTTTTGTTGTAGTGTCTCCTTTTACTTTATATATCCACATCTACTTACAGTCAATAAATGTCTGCCATATAGGCCTGTTAACAAGTTTCCAAGTTTTTTTTTTAAGAAGTGAAGACATTTCATCTTCCATGGACACTATCCAGTTTGTACTTTCTTTACCCTTAATTGCATCTTCATAGGAGTTAGGCTCATTTTCAAATTGTTCTCGATAAGTAAACGAGGAAACAAAATCATCATTGTCAAATCTAATAGAAAATCTGATATGCATCATCTCCTTATCTCTTGTGAGTTGATATTCATCAAGGGGAAGAGTTGTAGGATCAGATTGGTCAGTCTGATCAACTTGATCATTTTTAGTTTCAAGTAAAGAAGCATTTTCATTTGGACCGGTTTCATCTACAATAGGCGCATGAATATATTGCTAATGTGAGAAGACTCCACTTCAATTTGAGCATCCTTTTCAATTAAGACATTTTTTCCTACTTAACATGGTATTAAAGATTTATTAAAATGACATCTTTTCTAACAAAAACCCTATATCCTTTTTCACATTTTACCCATAATCTGTAGCCTTCAACATTTTCATCATTACCCAAGAAAACACATTTAAGTGTTCTAAGTTCTAATTACCAATGTTTTGATGAGCATATGTAACACAACCAAATAATTCACAGAATTATTAGACCAAACATATTTAGGAACATCAAAATTTAGAGCTCTAGTAGGAGTTCTATTAACAAGATATGCAGCAGATTTAACAGCTTCATCCTAAAACAGTTTAGGCAAACTAGAACTTAAAAGAATGCATCTAACTTTATTTAATAAAATCTCATTCATTAATTCAGCTATTCCATTTTTTCAAGTATGAGTGACAGTTCTATGTCTTAAAATATCATATTCTTTGCAAAAACATTGAATTCATGATTGCAAAATTCTAAACCATTTTCGATCTGTAAAATTTTTATTTTATGATTAGTTTGATTTTCAACTTCAGTTTTTTAGTCTATAAAAATAGAAAAGTCTCATCTTTATTTTTTAATAAGAAAACCAATTTTTTCTTGAAAAATCATCAATGATTACCAGATAATATTTGGAACCAGATAGAGTGCACACAGTAGAAGGACCCCACAAATTAGCATGTAAACATTCTAATATTTGTTTTCCTATAACACATTGTTTACAAGAATCAAAATCACAAAGATTTAATTTTCCAAAAAACTCCTTTTGCTTGTAACGAACTGAAACTCTTTTTGCCAATATGGCCAAGTCTATCATGCCACAGTTTTGCAAGTGTAAAGCTTTCAGAGAAAGCAAAAGCTGCCATACCAAGTAAGGGTTTAGCTTTCAGAAAATAAAGATCATGTCTCTTAGGGGTACTTCTGATTAAATCATTTCCCATAAGAATTTTAATGTGTCTTTGACCCAAATTTATGTTAAACTTCATGTCATCTAAGATACCTAATGACACCGTATTCCTTTTCAAATCAAAAACATATATTGTTCCTTTCAGGAATAGAACATTACCATTATCTAACAACAATTTTATAGTACCAATCCCTTTAACTTTACAAGTGATATTATTTCCTATTATAACTTGCCCACCAATAGTTTTTTTAAAATCAAGAAAACAGTTTCTATTAGGGCACGTATGGAAAGAATAGCCTGAGTCAAGTATTCATTCATCACTCAGTTTCTTCTCCACATTAACAAGGACTAAACCATTTTCAGCCTTAGCTTTATTATACACTAAGGCATTACTCCCATCATCAATCCTCTTTTTTTTTTTTTTTGAATCATTTTTCTTATTAAAGCAATCTTTTGCAAAATGACTCAACTTCCCATAGTAATAACACTTCTTGCCTTTATTCTTAATTTTTTGACTTATTCTTATCACTCAATTTATTTTTATTTTCAATAAAAGACTTAGAATGATAATTTGAGTTACCAAAAACTTTCCATTTTACTATCAAACTATCTCCATTTTAACTATTACCAGACTTAGCTTTCATCTCTAGAGTCTTATTTTTTTGGGCATTTATTATAATATCAGTGGTAAGTTCTTTCATACCATACTCTAGAACAACATTGATGTCTTTATATTTGTCACTAATTCAGTAGTGATCTCAGCCCTACCATATTCAAGAGCAACCTTGATGTCTCTATATTTGTCACTAATGGAGTTTAACAAGACTACAACCATCTGATTTTTTGAAAGTTTTTCATCACAGTTGGCTAAGTCTTGGGTAAGTTTTGTAAATTTGTTCAAATTTTTATCCAAATCAACCGAGTGATCCATTTTAAAAGAAAAGAATTGTTTTAGTAGAAAACATTTATTGGGAGTAGTTTTGTCACATATTTAGCATGAAGTTTAGTTCACAATTTAGAAGCAAATTTTGTTTTACCAATAGTTCTTATCACATTATTAAATAAGTACAAGAAAATAGTGCTCCAAGCAACTTATTCAAATTCAGTTTTCTTTGCAAGAAGTGAGTCAGCATGTCAACTATCATCTAGAGTCCTAAGACATCTCATTTGCATTAAAATGACCTTCATTTTTTGACTCCTCATATTGAAATTACCTTTTCCATCAAACTGACCAACCACAAACTTAGCCGAATCCATATTATAAGCAAGTATGACTCCTACTGAACAATTGCTCGAGAAAGAAAACTTGATACATGGAGACACTTTATTGCGCTCGAATCGAGTTACCATTTCTATCGAGCCGATCTCTTCTTGTTTTGTGCAACTGTTTAGGCGTGAAGGCAACAAGGGACAAAAATGGTTACTCCATAAACACATGTATTCCTGAAACTAAAGGTACGATATTTTTTTTACTCTACCCTCCCATCTAATTATATGACATTGTGTGTTCCACCACAGCAACCTACTACCTCAACCTGGGTAGAAATCGTCACAAGGAGCTTATAAAGTAGGTGTGTGGGCAATCTTAGCCCATGTTTGAGCCCTATTATCTAAAATTCATTTTTTAAAACTCTTTTTCAATCACATTTTCTCAATAAAATATTTTGTGTATAAACCAAAATTTTTTTCTTACCTTTTAGTCACACATTTTTCAAAACTCACTATCACAAAACATGGAGACTCGAAACTATTAACGATCGTGATTCAGTCACCTATTATCTTATTATTGTTGTTCATCCCTTCTTTCCATTTGCCTTTAGTATTTCATTTGTCATGGTTTTGTTCTTTACGTTAGTTGTTTGCACTGGCGGACACAAGGCGTGGCATGGAGGATCACTTGACCCCCAACTTTTGGGCCTTTTTCGTCTTTGAAAATTGTTTATTTCCTGAGAAGAAATGGATATTCAAGATGAAATGGAATACACCTACATTTTTCCAATATTGTCTAATTTAACACCACATACCGTTAAAAATGTTGGCTTCACAGAAATCCTAGATAATCTAGGTCACTAGGTGTGTATTCTCTTTGATTTTTATTTTTTGGCGTTCTGTTTAATTCTTTTCAATTCAAATAAAGATTCTGCAATATGCTAGGGGTTGCCTACAAATCTGTAAAGCATATCTACCATTCTTCAAAAGACCACTTTCATCGACTATCCATTTATAAAAGGAAAAATTGTATTTATCTGCTCTATATAATTCATTTCCCTGCCTTAGTAGTTCAAACTCTAGACATCTTTGTTACATATTCACCAAAAATTTGATCTGTGTTACAGTTCAGAGACTAAACAAGAAAAAAAGAAACAAAAGAAGCTGGTCAATTTAAGTTATTTTGCCTTTGTAAATTGAGAGGCAACTAGTACGCTGACAACAGTAACTTATATAATTACAAGTTTTTATTTTCTTCGATCAAAATTCGAAGTGATAGATAATATGGGGTTGGATAATCTTTAGGGTCCGTTTAATAGGCAAATGTGGAAAATAATTCAAATTTTATGTTAATTGAGAAATAAAAATTCACCAAACCCATAGGAATTCGTTTTTCATAAAAATGAGGAAAATACAGCTGAAAGTTGTTGTACCTTGAAATTTGATTTCCATTTTCACATTGCAATCAGACAGTTAAAGTGAAATTCGTTTTCCTCGAATATGACATTTTCCATAGAATACGTTGCAATCAAACTGGGCCTTATAGTTTGTTTTCATTGCGTCACGTTGATTTAGAATGGGCTTGAAATGATTTATGTTCTTTACAACTGTCTTACAAGTTTGACTATACCCCCAATTCAAAATGTTTGGGTTCGCAACTGATTGTTTGGGAGGGGTAAGGTATGAGGATGACAAGAAGGAAGATATGTAAATCATCCGCCGGGGACATTAGTATCACATAGTCAAAATATTGGAGATTAAAATTTGTCACACACTTAAAAGACTGAGGACTAATATACTGTAAAAGAGAAGTTTATAACCCGTTTGGACAACTTTATCAAATTGATGGCCTACACTGTAAATCTAGTCTTAAATCATTTGTTGTTCGCAGTGGAAGCCTAAATCCTTTTCTCCGAGCTTGAGCACGTTCTGAGCAGAGCGAAACCCTAGAGAGAACAATTGAAGATGTTGAGAGTGGCCGGAAGGAGGTTGACTTCTCTCTCGTGGCGGTCGGGTCAGCTATCCCCGGCTGCCTCTTACGTAAGCAGAAATCCAATTAATGGCATCGATTCTTGCGATAATTCCACCAGATCCGTCTCCTCTCCCCACCATTTATCCCCTACTTCCGCTTTCCTCCATCAAATTGTGGGTAAGCCTTTCGACTTGTCTCTAATATGGTTTCATTTGACATATAATGATCTTGCGTTATTTGTATTCTTTGAGATGTGACAATGAGGGGGATTAGTCAAGGCAAATACTTTGGAATTTTGGCTAGTTTTATTTTTTCGTATGAAGTTCAAATCTTTCGATTATTGAGGTATATAAAATGAAATTAATAATGCTTGGATATTAGTTTTTGGTGGAGGTCAGTTGCTTTTTAAACTGAAACTACCTGTATGTTTGGATTGTGATTTTGATGTGCATTATACATCTTCCTTCTGTCCGTATACAGAGGGTTGTCATGTGGATCAAATTCAAATAAAGAAAGCTATATCCTTATGAATTTATCTTCTGTCATGTTGATGGTGAAATTTTTGTTGCTTTTTGTAAAGCTAATGAATGTAATTGCTTGTTCTTTTTCTTCTCTGGTTTGTTTTTGCTGTAACTAAATTTTTTCTGTCCCTGTTTTTCAACAAGATCGTGACGACAATTTGAGATTAGGATTTTTCACGACTGAAATGATATCTGTTATGCAAAAATTCTACTCTTTCGAATTACTTTTCTCAGTGGTATTTTCTACGCATGTAACATCTTGCAAGTTTGCAATATACGCGATTAGATTATTAGGATAGGAAGTTGGAACAATCAAGTACTGTGGTCTGTGTGGGAAGTTTTTGGCCATATCCTTACTTTACCTTGCTAAGATCCTAACTAATCAGTCAGCAAACACTACCAAGTGACGTTATCCACTTGCCCATTTGGTTAACAGTATGGATCAAAGTAAGAGAATTGACATTGTTGGCGAAGGGTATCACTACAAAAAGGAATTAGAAACTGTGTAATTCATTGAACTTTAAGATAAATGTCTATACCAAATTACCAATTGCTGTGGTTTGAGCTGTCCTGTGCTTTTCTTATCATATTCATATCTCAATCTTTTGACTAGTGTTGAAGGAATAACAGTCATTAATTAGGTTTGGAGTGAAATATAAATTCCTGTTATTTTATCAGCTAAGTTGCTTCAAAATATATGAGGTATTCTTTTAAATTCCATGTTTCATATGACATGTATTATGATGGAATCCATTAAGTGTTTTTTCTTTGTTTGTTCCATTGTAATAAGGGATCCTATTTGAAGAAAGTCATGTGTTCTAGATGCAGGGAACAGATTTGTTTGAAGGTACTTATCTAAAGGACGCATCTTGGGATTAATTGTCCTGCTAGTTTCTTGCTATTTCTTCAGTTAAAGCTCCCTTTATTTCCCCTCTTATCGATGTTAATCCTCTGACCATTCGTTGAAAATAGTATTGGACTCTTCTGCCATTGTCTTTTTACCTTGTATTTACATCCTTGGCTTCGGAGGATACTTTTAATCTCAATGTTAAATTATGTGTTTGGGTTCTCTATTTTCTACCCTTCTTATGAAGGTGAAGTCATTTGGTTATTCCGATTTACTATTACATTCTCGTGTACCAAAAGATCACATTCACGTATGCACATGAATATGCTGTGGATCTCTCTGGTTGCGCGCTATCTGCCCTTTCATCCATGTTCTGTATGTTGGGAGTCACTGATGGGATATGTTTAATGTGTTTTAGAGGCTGTCTGTTGGAGATTTTCTCCAAAAGTTGAATGAAAATTAGACCGCTTAAGTCAACAGGTGGGGGCCACCTTAGAGAGGAAAGTTCAAAAATGGTAGGCTGCCTTGTGGTTTAACGGGAAGAAAATCAATTCTAATTGGGGAGAAAATCTACAACAGACATGCTCTTCGGCTTTTAGCACATTGCTATCCTATGCCAATATTGGGCTATTTACCGATGCTTGTGATGATTTATAGACCATTAATCAACTCTTGCAGGGTTTTCTTCCGGTTCGATTGCCCCAGCAGCACATGAGATGGGTTTAATCTCAGATTTACCAGCCACAGTGGCAGCTATCAAGAATCCTAGTCCAAAGATTGCCTATGATGAGCACAACCATGAGCGTTATCCACCTGGCGACCCCAGCAAACGTGCATTTGCTTACTTTGTTTTGACTGGAGGCAGGTTTGTGTATGCCTCATTGCTCCGTCTCCTGGTTCTTAAATTTGTGTTGAGCATGTCTGCCAGTAAAGATGTTCTTGCTCTTGCCTCCCTTGAGGTTGACCTATCCAGCATTGAACCGGGGACAACTGTCACTGTCAAGTGGCGTGGGAAGCCAGTTTTCATCAGACATCGAACTGAAGAGGACATCAAATTGGCCAACAGTGTTGATGTTGGTTCCCTTCGTGATCCACAGGAGGATGCTGTCAGGGTTAAGAATCCTGAATGGCTTGTGGTGGTTGGGGTTTGCACCCATCTGGGGTGCATCCCACTACCAAATGCTGGTGATTTTGGTGGTTGGTTTTGTCCGTGCCATGGTTCCCATTATGACATCTCTGGAAGGATTCGTAAAGGACCTGCACCATTTAATTTGGAGGTGCCCACTTACAGCTTCTTGGAAGAGAATAAGTTGATGATTGGATGAGAGTTTAATTCATGATAATTTTTATATCTGATCATTGAAATGAGCCTGGGAATACAGATCTACTGCCTGGACTCTTTTTTTATTTTTTTGGTTAAGTTGTATTCCCCTTTTATATGTCCTTGCTAATTATGCTTCATTTGACATGAATTTTGTATTGAGGTCTCCAAACGGAGCCCTACTCTTTGAATAAAACTGGCTTCTTGTTATAGTCATCCTCCCCATGAACTGAGACGGAGTGGAACAGTTGGAATTTTGTTCAAAAATTGGTGGTGATCGACAATTCGGTCCTATTAAACATCGATCAATGTGAGAGATTAATTTTGTTTTCATGCCTCTCGGTAAACTGATCCTGATTTTTTCATGGCAAGAAACTGCAAACTTAATCGACGTTTGACTGTCTGGACCACTAAGTCAAAGCCTAAGCGCTAAAGTGGATTCACCACATGACCCCTGGGCTGGTTCGGTTTTGGACCAAAGCCGACCCGCCCCCGCACCCGAAATGGTTGATTATGACCTATTTTTTCAAATCGACCCGAATCAGGCCACGACTAGAATCGACCCAACCCGAATCAGGTCAGTTCATGCCAATTTTCCCTTTTTTTTTGCACAAAAATATTCCCATCTTCCAAATCAAATTTTAATTGGCAGAAATAAAAATAATATTTTTCCATTTCAATAAACAAATTTTCAATTAAATGATTTTCATCATTCATACACAATCAAATAAAATTGAATAAATCACTTTTTACTAAGAATGGATTTATAATTCAAACAAATTTTCAGTGAAATGATATTTAACATTGATTGCAACTAAAATTGAATAAATCACAATTTTTTTTTTTACAAGACTGGGTTTATAAGTTGAATTTTTTCACAGAAGAAATTAAAGATTTACATCCCAAACAATTATTTTCCTACAAATTAAAATCATACTAACGAAAATAAGGCTCCTCGATTAATCAGAAAGGCATAGGCTGAACCATCCACCATGCAGATTTCCCTTGACATGGACGGTTAGCGCCATGCAAGGAAGTTCAACTACTTATATTCAGAGTCTCGCCTCTGAATCAACTTCATCACAATTGCTTATATTCAGATTCTCGTCTATATCCAAAAGTCCATGCGTTATATGAATATCCGTACCTGAACTTCAGGGACTATTGTGCTACTATTATAGTAGCAATACATAATTACTGCTAGCATATGCATTATATTATTGATGTCAAGTATGCATACCACATCATTGCTAGTATGTCATAATACTATTTTTACTATTGTCAGTATGGATGTCACGTTATCTACATGATCATTTTATTATCGACAACATATTACCTGATACATAATAGGCTCTCTGCATATTCTATTTTGAAGAAGTTTGATTTGTCATTATTCACTTTATCATCACGAGTTTGTGGAGGTGTTAAATAGACCCCAATTTATTTTGTATACATGCAATGGACATATTGTATTGTATTTCATGTTGATTTAGTTCATATTTCAGAGGCAGATTATAAGTCTTTGCTTATTCAAGTTCGCATAAATATTTTCTAGATAGTTTGTAAGTCCTTACTTATTGGGGCGACTTATATTCTCATGACAATTCGTAAGTTTTCACCTATTTGGGATCGAAGCATATTTTCGAGAACTCGTAAGTCTTCACTTATTGGAGTTGCTCATATTTCTGAAGTAATTTGTAAGGTCTCGTGATAAGTGTGTTTTTGCACACTTATTTAATGCCTAAACAAGCTAATTATTGATTAANTAACATCGCCAATGAGTAATTTATTAATTAGCTTGTGTAGAAATTTATTAGGTGACGGTTAAGCGAAACTATGAATCCCAATCACGTTTCTCTCAAAACTTTACAAGTGTTTACATTTTCTTATTTTGTAGATTTTTAGTTAATTTCTCTTAATTTTCAAAATCAAATTTTATTTTGTGTTTGTTCTTATTGTCAAAAATTAAATTGACTAAAGTTGTGTAATTAAAAGTAAGCATTCCTCGAAGGATCGATAACGCGGACTCAAAAAGTCCACTTTATTACTTGAACGCGACCCGTGCACTTGCGGTATATTATTTTAGCGAACATCTCGCTTGCTTGACAACTTATATTTCAAGTCCGACTCGAATAAATATACGACTTAAGATTTGAAGGACTATTGTTTATCTATAAATTATGTGGCATCTGCATTACGGAGGGAGTCCCACATTGGCCAACTGAATTGGATTGGACCTATTTAATCAAGTAACATATTTGTAGACCAAAACACAAGCTCACTTGGCACATTTGCATTTCCCTATACATGTGTGAGTCCATTCACAATCAAGGTACGTTCATTTTAACTCTAGTCAAACCCTCTCTCCCATCTCTTGCATTCATTTATCTTTCATCCAATAGTTGACTTGATCGTTGGAGTACAAATAGTCGTCAGGCCTTTTCTCGACCAGTGGCCATTGCCTCCTAACAAGGTGTCAGTGTGCAGGTGAAGCTTGCATGGAGGAGAGGTTGTTGAGATTCTGTTAACGCATTTTTTGAGATCAACAACAATTAAACTTAATTAAGAGATTCATCAATGATAAGTTGATAAAAGATCGAGCTACCAACTCCGCTGTATTTGTAAAACATCACACCATTATCTTGGTTGCTTCCATACTTATCAAGAGAATATTTTGGAATCAGATATTAGAAAGTGATTCGTAGATTTATGGTGCATGATAGCATGTCTAATAAATATAAACACCTCTCGTTTCATAGAAATATAGATAGGTCAGTAGCTTAGTAATGGAGTTAAGTTCCAACATACCTTCCTTTGTCTCACGTCGTTCGACTCTCTCTTTGAAGTAACCTAATTGATAAGTTTGAGAAGTAACTAGATATTTGTTTCGCGTGGAAATCTCTATCAATTAAAAGATGGATCAGACGATTGTGTAAGGAACAACAACCTCTCGAGACAAAGTCCCAACAATGAGTGTTTTATTGATGAAGATTACAATATGGACGAAACAAAATACCTTTAATGGGCTCAAGCACACGAATTCTAGAAGAAAATAATTGAAATTTAACTAAAATAAAATTACATAATTCTCTGTTTGAGAGTTGGTTTAATCTTTTTTGTCTTGTAGATTCTTCTTTCTCCTTTATACTCATTTGATAGTTTCTCTTGTAAAACCGTTTGAAAAATCTTGGAAACTGCCCATCGTCCTGTAACTACCCACCTTCTCCATCGTGGATGACTTCTCATGAAACTACCATTTTCAACCATTGTCATTACCCCATCTCTTAACTTCTTGCAATCGAGATTCTTGGATCGTGGAATGTAATAAGATTACCCATTAACTGCTTTAATAACCGTTGATTTGAACAGTAACAAAAATACTATATTCGCCCAGATTTTGAGTGTCACACAGGCTTGAGCGATGACAAGGTCGCTCAGATCTTGGGCATCTGGGCGTCTCATAGGCTTGGACGATGATGGACCTCAATAACGTAACTTCGTCTTGGGTTTGGGTCCATCCTTCGAATTTCTTAATTGGGCTTCATTCTTTAGATTATTTAATTCTTTTTATTTTCTAGTAAAAATCCCAAAAATGGCGGATAATCTCAATCATCATTTTCTTTTGGCGGTAACCCTTTACATCCTAAAAAGTGTAACATCACGTAATTCCTATAAACCAAAGAACACGCCATTTCATCGCGCCATTAAACCCACGTCTTTGCATCGCGCACTTATTTTTCCCTATAGAGATCACTGTTCATTTTCTTGCTTCCCTGCTACGCTTCTCACAAACTCTCACGAAAACTGTACTTGTAGCAAATGGAGACTTCATAGAGCCCTTCCGAAAACTCCCTTAGCTTCGAAGACTTCCAAGACCTCCTTACCAAGTCGTATATAAATCTGATTTCCTTTTCACCAGCCAACCCCGACCTCCATGAATTCTACATAGGCCCGTCATTTAATGATGTTGAATCGGTTGGGTAAGCGGCAGTGGGCCAGCTATTCTCTTGTACTCAAGATCATCCTTTTCTGAACTCTTTACAATTAAAGCCAATCCTCGAGAAAAGTATTCGTACGTGGCCCAAAATTGATACTACTTTTCGTATGTAGCATGCACGCATGGTAAATCATGGCCCTACTAAGGCGATTTTTGATCGTGCTAGGATTTCAGATTTATTAGAAATTGCCCTCCGTCCCCCAATCTATGATGTCGTGCTTTTTCCTATTACGTTAAGTTTTTGGTCTTCTGAGTATAATACCTTTATTGTCCTGCTTGACCCAATATCCATTACTCTGAGAGACGTTGGAGCCCTAGTAAACTTTCCACCTTTGGGCGATATTATTTCTCCTGCCATTTTGGTTATTGGTACTGCCCCAAAATTTGAGAAAAGACTTACTGATTCTTACTTGGGTATGAAGGAGCTTTATAATAAATCAGGCGTTGAACATACTCACGCTGAGCGTGTCGCTTTCCTCCAAGTTTGGCTTTGTAAATACATTCTTTGCGTGCCCAGTCTTAAGCCTTTCACGAGTTATTTGCCCATAGCGCATGAATTAGCGCGTGGTAGGCCTTTAAATCTCTGTTCATTATTCTTAGCCACCTTTTATAGAGGCATGGCTTTCCTCCAACACCAGTTGAGGAATAATGCATCTCCTACTAGCAACGGGCCTCTTTGGCTTGCTCAATTGTGGTTGAGAGCATACTTTCCACAACTTGGTACTCCATCCACTCCTCCTTGATCTGCTAGCTGTTACGGGCGGCCATCAACCAATTGAGCCCTGTAAATATATCCAATATGGACGTTTTTTCATTCTTTTATAACTTGGATTCAATCTTTTCCTTTTTTCCTTTTCCTGCTCACTCAATCCCAAACTACGTGCATCATCTGTCTACCATGGACGATGTGAGCATTTTTTTGTCTATTTGGGTCCAATATTTGAGCTATATGCTCCCCGGGTTGAGCTATATGCTCCCCGGGTTTTTGCTCATCAGCTTGGCTTTGG